TCAGTCATCCTGTTATTCTTTAAAAAAAAAAAAAAAAATGACGAAGCATAGTCGCAGAGAAGCGCCTAAGTAATGTAAAAAAAAAAAAAGATTAAGGATTTTTTAAGTAAAAACTCCTTAATTCTTGTAAAATATGCTCTTTAAGTGCTTTTAAGTAAGCTTTTTTAATTATAATATGAATTGTAAATGTTGTACTCGTATAAATTTTGTATTTGTTAACATATTACATTTATACCTGTCCCGCAGTCAACTGATCGTTAAGACACGGTTCCCAGCAGATCAACGAAGTCAAGTATCACTGGCTGCGGCCAGTGTGCGGATGGGTGACCACTTGGATCAGCCTGCGTAGGGACCGAGGGTGTGCAGTATTGGTCCTCGTTAAACTGTTCTACCGTAAAGTGCTCGACTTCACGTGCAGGTCGTCAGGCTACTGGAGCAGGGGTGCTATCCCCTCTGCAGAAGATCATCCTCAGCGATGATTCCCAGATCGTCGCCAATAGCCCATTGTGCAGCTCTAGTGCGACGGAAATGAACTACAACAACATTATACCAACCCTTTTTCTTTTATACTCCTTGCTTTAACCGAGTTAGTCGTGGTCCACATTAGCTCACAGAATCGGGACTCTACTGTATATAATACATATGCATAGGGCACGATTTGTGGAGGGTATACACTAGAATGCTATCTTGTAACATTTCAGAACATAAATATAATAATGAAAAAACTACTGAAATGACTAATTGAAGTTGTGTGACTAATATACTACCAATAATAATGACTAATTGAAATTTGAAGTAAGAAAAAATTATGAAGCTTTAGCATCCACGACATGATACCATTCCGTTCTAAATGGGCTGTATGAGGAACTATTTTTTTTTTTTTTAATAAAGCAAGAATATAAAACATATCTTCCAAACTGGTTTTATATTTAAACTTATGATATTTCTATATAACTGTAAAAATTGTACTGCAGCACTTGCTGCTTTAGGAAGTTACATTACAGTCAGTTTCAGAATATTTCTTCTTACAAATCAGGCCCCAGATATGCATACATAAAATATTAAATTTTGTTTTATGTAATTAAAACACATACTGACTTGCAATAGATAAAATATGTAAAGAATTTAAGTGATTAACTTGCCGCTACCTTTCGATGCATGGTACAGTTTAATAAAATAACAATAAAAATAATCTTCTCGGATGGAAATATAAAAATGATTAATTGAATAAATATTGAAGATCAAAAACATATCTTGTATAAGTTTAAAATACATTCATATGTAAGTGCTTCAAATGAAAATTAAATCTACTAAATATTGCACTTAAATTATTACTTCAAATGAAGAAAATAATTTAAATCGCACTAACAAATGTATCCATTAAGCTTATAAATCAGTAGAGGATATTACTTTGGCGTTAACATTAGTTAAATTTAATTGCTAGAACATAAATATAATTTCAATACAAATTTCATTAGGAGAAATTACTTTATTATTGTCGTATTTTATTTGGAGAAATCAACATTATGCTATGAAACAAAACAATTTTTGCTCAGAAAACCATAAAACACTTTTTTCTTTAAATGAAGAAAAAAAAAAAAACTTATAACAAAGCACGTATGAAATAAGCATTTTTAGATGGTTAATCTTATGTTTTTTTTATTAGCTGGAAAATAAAGCAATATTAAACAGATTTCTCCACACAATATAAATTACTAATTATACAAGTAAGTTGTTTTAAATCTTAGTATAATTCTTTTTAATTTCAGCTTAGTCTTTTGATAATATTTGAGAAACATTATTCAACACAAAATGATGAAAAACCTAACACAACTATTCAATCTTAAATACAAGAAATGTTTTTAATGTAATGCAAGACAACAATTATTAACTAAACAAAAATTACTTATTGCCTTAGAAATTTTGTTCTCTTATAAAACATTTATAATATCAAATATTTAACTCATAGGGTAAAAAATTTGTAAATATAGTCTCTTAGAAAACTAAATGTCATTAAAAAAAGGAAGAAAGAAAAAAAAAAAAAACCTTTATTTTTTTTAATACTAAACATCGGCTAAATCTATTGCATTATGTTATGAAAGAAAAAATGTGAATTAGGTCGAGAAAAAAAAAAACAATGAATAAATCTTTGAGAAATGCTATAGCATATCCACTCTACTGTTTTATTAGTTCAATGAATGTACAGGATAACATGAATCAACAAAAGTTCATAATTCTTATCAGGTACTTGATGTTTGGCAGTGAAAAACTTAAGTCAAAATATAACAATTTAAAGTTCGAAAAGTAGCATATCAACAATGAAAAGTCAAATGGAGACATTAAACTAACTGCTCCAACTATAATATTGATCATAGAGAATATAATTTGAGTAATTTTAAAAATAGCAATAGAAAAATCTTGATAAAATAATGTAAAATTGAAAATCAAACAATTTATGTATTAGGTTGATGCAAAAGTTTAAGAGTTCAATTAGTCTACAACTTTTAAGCACTATATTAATGATCATTTGTCAGTTTTAGGCAAATATTGTCTCTCAGTGTTGCCTATAGAGGTCATTAAAATATTGAGATGTTTTAGAATCTTAATTTTGTTAGCATGATAGTTTGAAGACATTATACCTAAACATTGTGGTTGGTTAATTTATCCTGTTATGGTAATAAGTAGCAGGAATTGCAAGGGCATTTATTACCGGGATATTTAAGTTTAAAATACAGCTAGTATTACAAGGAACAACTTCAAGGTACAAAATGGACTTCATTTTGTTGCTTTGGTCTTAAGACCTAAATCTTACAGAAATTTTCTGGGCTAAAGTTGAAAGAACCATCCGTCACCTAGAATCTCAACCATAAAGTCTGACATTGTCGGAAAGTGCACAAATGACTTACTAAAATCTTGTAGAGTCCATATTAAGTGCAATCAATTTTGTAGTAAAGGAATTAAAAGGAAGCATAATATTTAGGGGTATTCATTTTAAGTTTATGATATCTTTTAATTATTTTATTTCAAACAAATAACAAATAAAAAGTGATATTTTAACAACTTTTTACCACTGTTCAAAACACAAAATGTCAATTATGACCAGTTAGGTAGAAGTACAAAGAAATTCAGTACTTCCTATAGCTTATTATTAGGTCTGAAGAAGAACTTTTCTAAATCTTCAGGCGAAGTAAAGAACTACAGCTTCTTCATCCCATTAACTCTTAGTAAAATAACTAAAAGATTATAATACCAAAAAATCTGGTTCACCAGCTTAAAAAATAATTGCCCGATACATGACAAAAAAAATGCCAAACAATTACTTTTCTTTTGCGAAAAAATTTTATACAACATTAGAATAAATTTTTAACGCATAAAACAATGATCTTTTTAGGCAGTTTAGTCAAGCTAATTATTTCCTAGTATAACCTTGTTAGTTATTATAATTTCAGTTGGATCACTTTTTCTAATTTAGTTGAACCTGACAGCTAAACTCCGACAATTACTAGTTTCCCTTAACATTATTTAATAGTTTTGGATGAAAGTTCTTTTAAATTAGATTTATTTCAATGTTTAAATTAATATTTTTAAACACAACATCATAATTAATATCCGAACATGAAATTACGAAAAAACTGAAATACTTTTAATAATTATCAAAAGTTTATTCCACAAATTTATGCATCAACCTAATATTATAGCTACTATGAATATGCATTGAAAACTAATTTCAAATTACATTATTTTAATAAAAAGTTATAAATTGTCACATAAAATAGAATAAGCCTTAGTTATCTAACAATTTATCATTTATTTAAAAAATAATTACAAAAAAAAAGGGTTGGTTAAAAATTAACAATTCAAGAACTTCAATAAAAAGAATAAAAAACTTTACGTAATCAACTTCGTGTTTTTTTTTTTTTTTTTACATAAACTTTTTAAACAACTGCAATTATTAAAATTAGCTAAGTAGTAAAAAAAAGGAAAAAATTATATATAATTTTATAATTCATATTATAATAATTTTATGATTCATTGATTTTAATCCAATAATGAGATAGCAATAAGCATGATGTAATAGTAATAGGTAAAGTTATCGATAAAAAATGTAAAGATAGTCACATCCCAATTTATGAAAGTGAGAAATTAACTGTGCCTATTATTATCTCTGGGAAAACTTTCTTCAACAGTAATATTTTAGAAGCATTAAAATATGTTTAGAAACAGCTTATACTTTAAGTTCTCATAAAGGTAAAACTCAATAGCTCCCCTCAAAAAGCTTTGATGCTGAAAATAATAAAAAAAGCTTGACCCTTGAATTCATTACCATAGAAATTTGGTAAGTAAAATAGGTAATTCAGCTTTCTTTTACATAAAATGACAAAATTTTCAGAAAGCTTGAAAAAAAATTAATACTGTGGCTTAGGCTATTTGTCTCATAATTAGTGGAAGGTACTACTAGCATTAATTAAAATAAGAAAAATGTTGGATCAAAAATCTAAAAATATTTTTTTTTTGATTCTTAAAATAAATCTCCAACTCTGCATTTGTAGTTGTAAAAAAAAAAGGATGTTTTATAACACACAAGTAACAAGAATATTAGGATGAAAAGCTAAAAATCGGGACAAAATATTTTTCTTCAAGAAAATCAGGACAACTACGTACATTTGCAAACATTAATTCCAATTAAGGCAGTTCATGTAATAATTCTTGAGATGGATTTTAATTCCCATGCAATAATATTTTTCGTTTTTATTAAAATAAATCAATTAAAAAAATAAAACATTTAATAGCTACCACAGCACTTTTTAAAAAAGTAATATACACTTTAAACATAGTCTAATAACTTAAAACAGTACCAAGGAATCATTTTAATATTTCAATTAAGGCTTTTGAAATCCATAGTATACTAGATGAAATATATATTAGAGGGAAAGACATTTCATTTGAATAATTTTTTGGCGTAATTACCCAAACTTTTCACTGTATATATAATTGTATGCTTGCTGTTAAAAGTCAAACCCTATGGACATACTTCGTTTAAGCATAGCTCAAGAAAAAATATCTTAAAAGAATATTTTATTTAAATATTTTGCAAACTATAGCTCACTACCCAAATTCTCTTTGTCTTTAATTAATTTATTTTTTGTGTGAATATAATTGCATGTATACTTTATGAGGCAAAAACTTATGCGAAGCAATTATTCAATACCAGGTTTCTAACAAATTAATTATTAGTTAGCATTAAATGTGCAAATCGATTCTACAGGATGTTGTTTATCCTGCCATGTTCATTTTCATTCTGCTTGAGTTTTCTATCGATTATTTTCCCTTTGAAGGGATGAAATCTAACTCATGGCCATTGCCACACCTTCATCAGAGCAGCCAGTGTTGCAGATTATTAGAGTATCTACAGATTATTTTTCATGTAAGTTTTCTTTTTAAAAGTAAACAAAGAAATTGAGAAAATGGCTGAGACTCCTTTTTAAAACACCTTTAAACTTGTTTTTAAATTAAATTAAAAAGCTGATTTGAGAGAACACCTCAAAGAACTAAAAGTGGAAATTTTTACTTGATTACAGGCCTAATTTTATAGGGATTTATTCCACTTTTGTTAACATAGTAAAAATTAAACTTAAATTTAAAGATAAAATTCTTATGCATAACAACATTACACTCGCTAATTTTTCTACATATATGTTAGATTAAACTGAGGTTTGTACAATAAACAGTGCTGAAGTTGCAGCCAAATTTGAATTAATGAAGGTTCTGCTACCAGATGAGAACAAAGCACAGAATTTTTTTTTTTAAACTTTTTGCTCGTCAAAACTTAGCCACTAGTAAGCAAATGATTACTTCTATTTTTAAAAAAGTGCAGATATGGTCTTAAGTAAAATTAGCTGCTAAATTAAATAAAATGTCTCTAGAATGAATCATATTTTTATTAGCAGAGGGAACCGTACTTCACATTAAGAAGATAAAAGAACAATAACAATATCGAAACACAAATATTGTTATTTAATGCAAGAAAAGTCGTCAGACATAAATTATTTTTTTAATATTAGAATAAATGAAGATCATACTTTATGGATCCAACAAAGTTAATACCATTATAAATTGTAAAAGTCTAAAATAATTTATACCTAGGAATTTTTTCAATCATAAAGTAGGTTTTATATTATTTAAAATAAAATTAAAAAAGAAAACTTATTGCTTTTCTGTCATGAAAATGGAGATTTTTAAAATTCATTATTAGATTTTCAATTTAAATCATCAATCACAAAACACAAATGAGAAAATTAAACCAGAGATAACGAGTACATAAGTTAACATCTGTACTAAAGGAAGTGATTAAAGAGATAAAAACAATTTCATTTGTTTAATAAATATGGTTCAAAATTCGATTCCAATTAATAAGAGGAAAAAAAAAAAGCTACTTAAGACATAAGTAAATTCATAAATAAGAAAATCATACACAACACAAACAACATGCACATTTGGAACTAAACTGGAACACAGATTTTGAGCAAATGGAATGGTTTTGCTTCCTTTAAATGCTCTAACAATAAATATTAGGTAGTTCCATTTACAAAATAAATATTTTCATATTTAAATATAGACTTAGATTCACATTTCCTTATTAAATTTAATCTCACTCACTCTTCCTAGATGCCATTTAAGGATTTAAATTACCTTACTGATGCATGGAATAATATACATTTGAATTCACAGACATGAATAAGCATGATCAAGTGAATGAATTCTTACATTCGTCAAAATAACCAATAATTTAACTCCAAACAACCTTTTCAAGCATACTGAAGACAGCATTTGGTATCAAACATGGCACTGTGAAAGCAGTCTTAGTTAAAAATCCAAATTATTGGAGTCAACCTGTTTGGAATAAAAGGTAAAAGAGTATTATTAGTGACTTTTAAACAAATGAACATTTTCTGAAATTACCTAAAAATAGACATTTAGGTTATATTTATTTAGGTAAAATATAGGATTAATTTTTTTAGAGAAATGAGTCACATGGAATTGGAGAAAACTACTTAGCATAACTTGTTGAGTGCCACGTTAGTTGTCAGTGATTTACATTTTAACTTCCACTTCGGCCCTGTCAGTTACTGATTACTAGATGGGTTAGAGTACAACAAAATATACTGCATTCTAAGAGAAACTTAATTTTGATAGCCATGAACATTAACTCTTTAATTTAATAATAGGAAACAAAAAATATTTTTAGCATGATCTTTTATATATAATCAAAATACATTTATTAAAGAGATTTTTTTATTTCTAAAACAATATTACAGAGATTTTTTAATGAAATATACATTGATTTTAATACTATCTCCACTGTACCCCAGTGAGTGGGGTAAAATAGGGATAGTTCTAAAATTAGTGCATATCTAATAAAAAAATTATTAAAATATGTTTTTTTGAATGTATTACTGTAAGAAAATAATCAAACAAAATAGATAAGTTATGCTTCATACTTAATCTATGTGAATCTAGCGTATATAAAATACATAAAAAATTTCGGTAAAATAAATTAAGTTTGGTTTCAAAGGTTTCCTTAAAAAAAAAAATACCTACATGACCCTACTAATAATTTATTTCAATACACACAACTTAATTCAAACAATAGTGCAATTCGCATTCAGGGTTGGGTACTGACGTCCAAAACTGGTCTTTGACATGACGCGTCAATGAAGACACACACTTTCATTCAAGTAGTAGTGTGATTTGCATTGTTATACAGCATTATGAGCACTTCTAAGTAGTGTATATAACCATGAAAGGGATTTCCTTAAAAATCGGTTAATTTTCATGAAAACGGTCACAAAAGTGCCTATTTTTTTTATTCATGTATTTGATTAGTGCTGACATCTAGTTTAAAATAAACTACAAGTACAATTAGCTTAAAAATATCTTGGTACTGCAATCTGGTGTGTAAAATGAGAAATAAAAATTTTTCTGGGGAAAAAAGATATGAATTAGTTTTATATTTACTGATGCGTTACTACCGAACACTCCAGCCTGGGAATATCACGGGAGCGAGAGATAGAGGGTGAAACCGCACCCTGTCATTTTCACGGGAACGAAAGGGTAAGAGGTGTTTGGAGGTGTTAAATTAGGAAAGGAGGGATGAGATGGATAAAAAAAAAGTAGCAGACATTACCACTAATTTGGGTTCCAAATAGAAATTCTCCTAAAACTAAGTGCAGTTTTGTCAGCCATCTAGTGGATTGCCAAGGTAAACCATAGATACTTCGGTGTTCCCATAGACAGCAGAAATTGCAGGATATAGTTTCTTGTCAGGCAGTCCCCGAAAAGCAACTCCCAAAAATTCATAGTTTCTTTCAAAGGCAAGCGTATTATCTTCACAGTCGAGAATCACACGTATTCGTTCTCCAACCTGCACAGGCACCATGGGAGCAAAATCCATGACTTGCTACACAATAAATGAATGCACAGTCAAATTTCAGAGTGCCTCACTAAAGATAGTTGCAACAAAAAAAGCTTACTGTAACTTTTTATTCTTATGCTACATTATCTGATAACAAGAATGAAATACAAGCAGTTATGATAAAGTAACTGTTCATTGAATTAATAGTTTTTATTTTTAGCATATTTTGGGAATAAAAATACAGAAACATTTTAAATGCAACGATCTTTCTTACAGACACCCTTATAGAGAGTAAGATAACTCGTACATATTTTAAGTATTTAAATATTATTTTGCAATTAAGTTACTTAATCGTAAAAATAACAGGTCTTGATATTTAGTTTATTTTATTCTCATAGGTAGAAATTATGATAAATTTTAAAGTTCCAATTTTTTTAACCATTTGCTTCTGAGTTACGCAATTTTAAAAACTCATTTTATTTTTGCTGTTTTTAAACAATTTCATTTAATTAACATGAGAACTAATTGACTTAAAGAGTTAAATTTTATGCCTTTTTGCTGAGTTTTAATAAAATGCATAACATGGCCAAATTATTATAAAAAATATCTTAATCTTTTCAAGCATTGTGTGCACCAAATTTTCAAAAGGTATTATTATGAAAGAAATTCTTTTATTTATTTCTCATTTATGAGTGACGAATCATGCAGTAAAATCCACATCTACTATTTTAAGAGCAATATTAGCAACAAAAAAAAAGTTGCATATTTTTGTTACATGATTAATATTTAACAAGAAAATATAAATTGAGTACCTTAAAACTCATGGTACATACATATGGGGAGATGGAAAATGACGAAACAAGCATTAATCGCCCTACAATCCATGGTCAAAACGAAAGTCATAATGCACTAGAGGACGCTTCCAAGCAACTGTCTTAAAAAGGCTTAAGGACATAGCAGCTGTCCTCATTCGCTCTGTGGATTGCTGATGACACAGATGAGCACTCTAATTAGAAGGCCGAGATGCATTACAAGTACAGAGAATCCCAGATACTGCAGCTGTTGACACCACAAGAGATGCCCGGTGTTTAAGTCAATGTATGGAGGTCACTCCTTTGATGGTGTGATGCCCTTGTTAATGCAATTTCCCAGCAACTGCTTTAAAGAAGTTGCTCACAGCAGCTGCCCTCATTTGCCCTGTGTATCACTGTTGATATGGATGTTCATTCAAATCAGAAGACAGAGATGCATGACACGTATGGAGCATTCCAAATACATGCCCAGATATTGGAGCTGCTGACAATTTAATTTTGTTGATTAAAATGTTTCCCTTCATTTTATCCGTTTCTTCTTTGTTGGGTTTCCTATCATTCCGTGCTCTGGCGCTTTATGACTTGCACTTCGATCATGGATAGTATGGCGATTTGCGTATGTCTAGTCGTCCTCTATCACTTCCTAACATATGTACAATGAGTTTTAAGAGACCTGCATATATTTTTCTATATGATCCATAGAAATAAAACTAAAATTTGGCACAGACATTGCAAAAAAGAAGTTAAATTAACTGTATTAATTTCAAAATATTAAAAATGTTAAATTAACACTGCCATGCTATCTATTTTAATGACATTAAACCATTGAATTCTGAGTCATGAATTTTTAAAATTTGCGAATTTTTGACAGTTTTTAAATTGCTATAACTGAGAACTAATGATTAAGGGAGCAAAATTTTGAGTTATTTTGTTTAGTTTTTAACAACATTTTATAAAATAACACAGCTAAATATTAAAATATATATATATATATTTAATAGTTTTACGGTAATGTTAGTCAAATTTCAGATGGTACTTTATGTAAAACAGAGAAGAAAAAAAATATTTCCATGTTATACATTGAGCTAAATCATTACATGAATATGCCAAATATCCATCAAAATTGTTTTGAAAATATCACAAAATGTGTAACTGTTGAATCAAAATATTATTTTTTCTCTATATGATCCCATAGGAATACTATCTAGAAATTTGGCACAAACATTGGTAAAAAAATATTAAATAAGTTAGTTGAATAATTAAACATTTCAATTTGATTTTTTTAAAATTTTAATCTAATTATTTAATAAAAACATTTTTTATTATTATTTAGCCAAGTTTTACAGATTTTATAAAATGCCATTAAAAACTGAACAAAAATAACACAAAATTTAGCTCTTTAGGTCAATTAATTCTCAAATTATAACTGATTAAAAATTCCAAAAAGTTTGTTAATTTTCGAAATTGCAAGTTTGAAAATGTAAAAATTCTAAAATTTCCTTATTTTTTATTTTAGAAGTAGGTTTTAAACATGCCAAAAATAATTGAAATAAGAAATGTTGACCCAAAAATTCTTTTTTCTTATTGGTTGATTTTATTGGGATTACCCTGACCTCCTTTAAACTCTGTGGTAGGTAATGATTTTTTAAGAAAACAAGTCTTTTAAGTGCAAACCTAATAAAATTGCTTAGAACTAATATAATCTAATTTATAACTGAAATTTCAGACTTGTCACACACTGAGGAAGTGAAAGAAAATAGAGGAAAATATGATCACCATATGTTTGCATAGTAAGTATGCAGGCATCGCTTTTTTCTTTTTCATAGCACACTTGCCATAAAAACATAACAGGAATCAATATTTATATTCTTTAGTATTTCTTTCATTGTTCAAAGGGTGACTAGCCTCATAAGAACTACCATCAGGTGCCATTCATTGACAACCAGGCCTTTCACAAATCAGTAGTTGTCAGTAATTGTTAACATCAAAAGGTTTATGTACTATTAATATTTTATAAAATTTTTTTTTTAGTTGTTTGCCCATAAATGACTTCTAGATGGTCCTTTTCCATTTATATAATTTTTTTAAGCTTGACGCAAGCCACCTTCTCTTCCTGGTAACTTTATAGGTTTGGTGCAGTTACCTACAGACCTGCGAATCTTCTTCCAATGAATTATTAAACATTTTAAGCACTTGTTTTTACTCTTTCATGCAAAGATATGAGCAAAAAAATAAAGTATTCTCTCTGTAAGTTAAAAAGATTATAGAGGTTAAGAGCATGCCAAATCACGGGAGAAACTTTTTGTTGTAAATTTTCTTTCACCTCCATAATAACTAATTTAAAGTAATAAATAAAGTGAATTCAAACAAATCAAGAGTAAGCTATGAAGTCTCAAATACTGAAAAGAAATTTTGAAAATATCAAAGATATATTTAAATGAATTACAAGAAGATAACTTAGGATTATGCAATGGACGGAGAAGTTCTCTTCCAATAATTTATTAGCATCTTGATATTTAGACATTTTTTTTCAGCAATTGAAACTTTTTGCTAGAACACATTTTCTCTCTCTTTTAAATTCGTATTGGAGGTGAAAGAGAATTTGCAACAAAAAGTTTCTCCCACGGCATTGCGTTCCTTAAAGCTCTTCAATTTCTTGGCCAATGGCAAGATTGTCAGTAAGCAATATGCACAGGCCACTTTTACGTTGGAACCTATGGATCTGGAAAGGCTGGAACCTATCTATCTAGAACCTGGGAGGGTATGATGTCACCCCTGAGGATCAAACAAGGATCCTTCAGCTCTTTAATACATTATATGCAACATAACTTAAAATAACACTGATAACAGCCTTCAATAGTTAGTCATTGTAGAGGGATTTGTGTCTAAACATTTTCATAAAGACTAGCTAATTAAGGGGGATATTTCCGTATCGTGATCTGTCTCGTCAACTACAAATGCCAAATAGATTTAAACTTGCAATTTTTTTAAAAAAAACATGAGATGTTTGCCTGGGGGTGGCTATGAGTTATACCTTTCGAGTTGATCTCTTTCCGTGATATTTTTTTTTTAGTTTCTAGCAGGCCACTACCCGGAAGTTTCCAAGACTTGGCAGTCATTCTGCCACAGATCACGTAATTAAGCAGGTCATACGTAATGTAAGCAGGCCTTCTAGAACATGTAGGCAGATTTAAATACTCACTTAAAAACCATATAAATTACATACATATTTATAAATATACAGTAACGTAAATAAGTTTTCTCTTAATCGACAAAATTAATCGCAATAGACAATTCTGACTACTTTCAATTAACCTCACGTTATAACAAACCTGATATTTTGGAGCGTTATTAAGTTGAGGATAGTTTCCTTGGCTATCTCCATTATGGAGCAAATGATTGTCCACCAAATTCCATCCCCAACTTTCAGAATTTGATCCTAGAAGAGCAACATATCCTGGACATTGTACAGGAGCTTCTTTAGTCGCTATACCAATGACAGCAACAGTCCCAAGCGGTCCTTCCCACCACACTTCCCAGCAGTGCCGACCAGTCCTAAATCCTATTTTACCTTTGGCAGCATCTGTACTTTGCGCTACTGGATTTCTGTGCAAAGTAAAACCGTTCGGTTTAATATAAACATTTCGCGAACATTCGTGTGGGTCCCAAGCGTGATAAAATGCTCTAAGTTTAGCTTTATAAGTTGGTACACTAGAAAGAATGTCAGATCGCAAAGCTTCCTCTGCGAGTTTGCGGACGCAATGCATTCGCCACACATCATTGTCTTCATCATTTAGGAGTTTATACCAATTTTTACAAACCAGCGAACAACCACGTAAATCAGACAAATCAAGATAAGAGAATATTATTTCTAAAATATTGTGTGTCAAACTTCCCCATTTGCTTTCCGCCATAGCGGAATAAACAATTCCCCCATTACTGAACGTGCTGCCAAAAAATATAAACATATTCTGGATTTAATAAATAAATTATGATAAAATAAAAGTTAATTAAAATCAAACTTCTTTCATTTTTATCAAAATTAAAATTCTTATCTAAAATTCAAAAAATATGTATCGAATGAAAACAATAAATTTTTAATAAGCAAACTACTTTTTTTTTGTTAACTGTAAACTGCAAAAAGTCGGCCGCGCCAAAATTCGTCTGTTTTGTTTATTTTAAAGTCTATTTTATAATTGTTTTAGTTATCGTGTTGTTTAGCAATTTTTAGTTTTAGTTTGATTATATATAATAAATTTTAAACGTTGATTTAATATTTAAAACAGGATGAATTCTTTTAAAGCTAAAATTATCTCTACTTTCAGTATGTATGGTTTTACGCTTCGAAGGTTAGTCTCTTTAAAGTGTGTTCTCTTTATTGACATGGGCAAATTATTATATTTTATTATTATACTTGTATCTTATTTTTCCCTATAGCGAAGCTTTGAAATATATTCATGAACAACTAGAAAACATTAACGAATCTCAGATAGATGAAGTAATCCAAAGCATAATAGATCAAATAAATTCACAAAATCTAACTTGTTCATTGATTGAAAAATCTCATTTAGAAGAAGCCTTTCAAAATCTTGATTGTACTTCAAACAACGATGGAGACTTATTGAAAATTTTTGATGCATTTTCCTTGATACGATTCACTTATAAGTAAGTTTGCAATTATTCATACTTTTATTTATTAAATTCGTAAGTGTGTCTCCCATTCGTGGGAGTAAATGATTTAATATATATATTAAGGGATTTTTACATTCAATATTTTTTATAAGAGAATATAAGATTTTTGATTGTTACAAAATTATTTTGATTATTACAAAAATTAACTTTTATGTGTTTTTTTTTGGGGGGGGGAAGGAATAAAACTTATTTGATGTTTTCTATTAGTGCTGGGGAAAAAAATAGGTATATTAATTTAACAAGTGATTAAAGGAAGAAATGAAATATAGTTATTGAAATTAATTATTTATATGAATAAAATCTGGAAAAAAAATGATATCACACCCCAATGTTACGCTTGTAAAAAATTTGACGCTATTCCCCTTCCAGGGGCTGTAAAGAATCACCTATTGTTGATGCCAATGACATTTTATTAATAGGGGTAATACATGCTGTTAGCATTATGATAATAATTATGTTGCACATTAATTTAGATGCAGTGATAATGTATTAATACAGGTACTGTAGTAATGGATTTTGAAAGATTGCCATATCAATACTTTTGGCAGAGTAATTCACAAAGTTTTGGTGAGTTCCAGCTAGTGGCCCACTAGAAACTGGAGAAAAAAAAAATCCCAGAAAGCGATAAATTCTAAAAGCTAAACATGTAACCATCCCATCTATGTATTTTTCTTTAAATTACTCCAAGTAAAACAACCAGATGAATTCATTTGCATCTTGATTTTAGTTGGGTGGAATATATACTGATATAGTAATATCTTCATAGGTTTTTGCGATACTGGAAACAGAATAATATCAATAAGTAATAGGTAGTTTCTAATAATTCTATATAAAAAAAATTGTGCCTCTGAAATATATGTAACATAATTTAACAACATTAATTTAAATTTATGCGATGTCTTGAAAAAATAATTATTGTTTTTGATATTAGTTCAAGAAGATTTACATATCAGCACTTGAGCAATAGCAACTAGAAACTAAAAAGAATGAAGCAAATTCTTAGCTTTCACCTTTTGAAAGCCTATATTTATGTATTTTTTAAACATTTTATTCTGAGTACAACAGCAGTTCCTTCTTTCAGTTGGCATGAGCAGGTAGTAATAAGGAAGCATCCAAAAAATAATTAAGTTAAAAGAAGGAGATAGGATATATTATGTCTGACTATAAATGATTTTAAATTAATGTGATGCTTTATGACATTTGCACCGAAATTCTATTTTAAATATCATATAATGCGATTCATTTCACTGAGGTTGACCTATGTGTATTTTTTAAAAACTATATTTTCCGAGTTTTATTAATCTCTTTAAATTGTAACAAATGTTGTCATAACAGTAACAATTTCTTAATTTTTTTTTAACAGTTATGTATTTTATTGTTTTTAAAATGATTATACAAATTGACCATCTATTTTTGTGCAATATAATGGTACATTGCCTTCCATCTTTCCGAAACAAACTAAAAAAAAACAAGAACAATGGAATTTTATTTATTATTATAATTTTTTTTTGGTTCATTTAAGGGAAGAACATTTATACAGAGATGATTGTGCTCCAGAAAAAATCTGAATTTCCGGACTTTTCAGTAAACGCGATCCGGAAGTTTCCGGAAATCCCAGGTCCAAAAGTTTCAAGAAATTATTGATCACATTTATGTATAAAAATTTTTTATATGTTTTATTTAGAAATATTAGAACTCTAATTTCTACTTGACATCTCTTTCATTTGTAAATATTTTTTCTGATAAAATAATAAATGTGATAAACTTATCATGGTATATTATTGGTATATTATTATCGTATAATAAACTTATGCATAATTATTCATTTAAATTATGCTGCATATAATTTATTTAGAATTTCATGTTTTGAAAATATCAATGATTCAAATTTATAAAGACGTNAAAAAAAAAAAAAAAAAAAAACGATGGAATTTTATTTCTTTATTATTTTTTTTGGTTGATTTAAGGGAAGAACATTTATATGAAAGTCAAAATTTTTATTTACGTAGACTTTTATGTACTTTCTTTTCTATATATTATACTTTTATGTTATTACAAGTAGGTATATTATAAATTTTTTCTTTGTTAATTACCATGCCTTATAACTGTTGTACTATTTCTTAATGTGTATGTTTTTCAGTATTGATTCAAAAAAATTTCTTACATGGAGCACCCTTCATAAGAAACCAGTTGTTTTGCATGGAAATCCAGACTCTAAAGCTGATATGCTGATTGAGCGTTATAAAACAGTACACCAAAGAACAGCTCGACATCGACTTTTCTCTGCTCAATCTATTGTTAGCAGTGCAAATCAGTCCCAAAATTATACTCTCAAAGCAGTTGAACACCTTCTTGGATTGTCCTGTACTGAAAATAATATAATTGTTTTGGGAATGCTAACTCAACTTAAGGAGGTGAATTATTTGATGAATTTAATAGGATGCAAGATTCTATAAGTTTTTCTTTTTTTTTAATCAGTACAATTTTCTTATTGTCTCAAAATTATCTATCTATATTTATCATGTCCTTTGAGAAATTCACTATTATTTGTTGCATTTAGAGTAACTTTATCGTAGATAACTCTTTAGATAACTTAGTAAGTTATCTAAGACAAAAACAAATTTTGAAACTCGCAGATAGTTAACAATATTATACAAGTTTTATTGCTATACTGGAGCATCATCTTCAGCACACTATCAAATGTTAAAAAAAGATAAAGTAAAACACTGCAAATTAGCATTATAAAATAAATAAAATATTAAACTGAATCAGCCTGTTAAAAAAAGTGGGAGTTTTGAAGACTTAATATGCCAGTGATTCCATCTGATTAGTGAAAAAGGGGTGGGGATGATGTTAAAAAGCTTTCATGTACTTGAGAATATTAATTTTAAAGACTAAACATTTTAACTAAAGATGTAGGGTTATTGATGATATGATAAGCCTCCTGGAAAAGTACACTTTTAAATTATTGTTAGTTGACAAAAATATTTGTAATTTATTATTCTTTTAAGTGAACAATGTTATGCAAAGGATATCTGGTGTAATTCTTTATTTTTGACATAATGAAAATTCTATTTATTCTGAATTTTTGTTAGTGCTTAGTTAAACAAATATAAAACAGATGGCATTCAGAAGAAATTTCAAGTTTAGTAGATGTTTTAAATTTGGAAAAGTGTGCTTGTTATTTTCCTTAATGCTAAACTTTTCTATTAAAAGAAAAGAAAATTGTCCTATGCAATGTTTAAATTGTAGGTTTCATATCGGTAGGTTTTGTTAGCTTCATATCGATCAGTATCCTTTCAAGATCTTTCTTTAACCTGATGGTAACGAAAGTCATTTTAAAATTAACTTCCTGCCTCTCAAAATTTATTTTTATAATTAAATCTGCTTTAAAATAGATTTTCCTATTTTCAATAAACATGGAGTTAAAATTAAGGTGATATATAAAAGCAAATATGTCAGCATTTATTGTTATACTATAATTATCATGCATATTATTATATACTATTATTATTTATTATTATGCATTATTACTTTAACTTATTTCTTAAATCTTCTAACTGTTATGCACTGGACAGGCATTTCTTAGTATTTTGGAGTCGGAAGATTCTCAGGCACTTGACCGCTTTGCAAATCACTCTTTAAACCTTTACATAAAACCCCAAATCAACTAGTGAATAGATGATCCCTTAAGATTGCCTTGCATGAATGGTTCTCATTAATTTTAGAACATAAGAAGTTAGAGAAGGACTTGTTATGTGGAGCTAATAACACATGGGTCTCAAGCATATTAAAACTAGAAAGAGGTGTTTTTTTAGTGCCTTGATTTAGGCTTATTAAATCTATATATGAAATAGAATTTCTCATTGAAAAATTTCTCGTTAATGTGCTTCTTTATGTAAGTAAATTACAAAAGCAAATATGTGAATCATTTTTTCCCTATCTAACTTATTTTGAATGTCTTTCCCCATGTCAATAATTCATACAATTTTTTGAAAACATAAAATCAAGAACATAATCTGAATGGAAAGGTTTGAGATTGAATAAGCCTTATTGTTAATACTATGCCCATTTATTGTTAATATGTTTCTAATTATTATAACTTCATTTTACAGTTTATTCTAAAATTATTAATTAGTAATTTACTTACATAAAGGTGGCACACATTAATTTCTCGTTAATATGTGCCTGTAAGTAAATTACAAAAACAAATGTGTGAATCATTTTTTTTCTTTCACCTAACTTATTTTGAAAGTCTTTCCCCATGTCAATAATTCATACAATTTTTTGAAAACATAAAATCAAGACCATAATCTGAATGGAAAGGTTTGAGATTGAATAAGCCTTATTGTTAATACTATGCCCATTTATTGTTAATATGTTTCTAATTATTATAACTTATATTTTACAATTTATTCTAAAATTATTAATTTGTAATTTACTTACATAAAGGCACACATTAATTTCTCGTTAATGTGTGCCTGTATGTAAGTAAATTACAAAAACAATTGTGTGAATCTTTTTTTTTTCTTTCACTTAACTTATTTTGAAAGTCTTTTGTCAATAATTCATACAATTTTTTGAAAACATAAAATCAAGAACATAATCTGAATGGAAAGGTTTGAGATTGAATAAACCTTATTGTTAATATGTTTTTAATTATTATAACTTCATTTTGCAATTCATTCTAAAATTATATCAGTCAGTCTTATGGAATAATCTCTTTCCAAGATAGGATCAAATTTAGTATGTATTTCTATAAACATGCCGATTTTTGTAATGTATCACACTTCTAATCATTTATAGTACTTGATTTATAGTGATTAATTTGTTATATTTTTAAATATTTTGTCTCTATTTAAATATTTTTATGTTTTTAGGGCCAGTTCTTTCTTGAAGATCCAACTGGAGTTGTACCATTGAATTTAAGCAAAACAGTATCCTTTTGTTAAATGCTTGACAAAAATAAAAATAAATTAGCTGTTTTTTTTTCAGTTGAAGTCACTATGTCTAATTAAATGTTAGAGAACTGGCAGTTCTAAAGTGTATTGTTTTCTTTTATTAAAATTTTATTAACTTCGCATTAGGTAAGATTAAAAAACTTTCAAGGATTCTTAATTTATTTCTTAACTTCAGGATAAAGCCTTTTGATTTTTAAAGAATGACTGAAGTTACATTAATTAAAACTGTATTCAAAGGCAGAGAGGTAAAAACAACTGTCCTGGGCCCGAGATTGTTGAGGGCGTAATTAAATTCTTTGCTGGGAATAAAACGTTTTCAGTTCATATTTTTTAAAAAATTACTAAATATTCCTTTATATATATATATATATATATACACACAGTTGGACCCCGATTTAACGAATTCATCGGGACCAGAAATTTTATTCTTTAAATCGGGGTCATTCGTAAAATCGGGGTTAAAAAAAAATTGTTTTTTGTACATATGTATAATTAAAAATTACTAGTTATAAACGACTATCTAAGATAAGAAAGGAATTTCCTGTTTGACTCATAGTCCACGTGACAAACCCCGGGAAAATGACCTTGCAAGTGTAATATGTCTTATTGTCTCTGCCCACCTACCCACGACGAATTTTGTTTTTCCCTGTTGCGGGCGTTTCTTTTGTTTGAAATGAATATGCACTTTTTCTACTTTATTCCTCCCAGGAAAGATTTTTTTCCATTTAGAATCTGCCAATTACAAAAAAATGCAATATTTTTCTGATCAAAATTANCCCGTTAATTTTGTGTGGTTTTCATTAGAAATAATAAAACAAGGCAAAGTTAGCATTTTAGAATATTTGTGAAAGTAGATGTTCATAATAAAGTCAATGTGAAAACAATTTTGAAAAGGAGTTTCCAACTATCTTGCAAAGTATGGGAATAAAACTTTTCGTGTTTCTCAGAAAGGGCTCCAGAGCCGTTGAACCTGTGCCTGACTTTGCCATTACCCCTCAAATCATTAAGTCAAATTGTGTAAATTTTTACAGAAAATTCCTTTATAAACACTAGTTTGTTTGACAGGAAAGCATGTTGCTGAGGCAATGAAAGATGGTGGACCAAGTGCTCATAAGTTTAAAGGCTTGTTGAAGTCTTATAAATAATTTGTTTTATATAATGTCTTGTTAGCTTTAATTTATCGTGACCTTCAATTAAATTTTTTTTGTTAAAAAAGACTCCCATTAAACAAGTGTACTATGTATTACAGTGGTCAGAAATTTTTTTTGTAGTTAACTATAACTACAGTCGGACCCCGATTTAACGAACCCCTATTTAACGAATTTTTTTTCAACCCCAGCAAAAACAGAGTAAAAAACCCCTAATTAACGAATAATTAACCTCGAATTAACGAATTATTTCAGCATCCGGAAAAAATATTTTTCATTAATTTTGATCAGAAAAATATTGCATTTTTTTGTAATTGGCAGATTCTAAAGGGAAAAAAATCTTTCCTGGGAGGAATAAAATAGAAAAAGTGCATATTCGTCTCAAACAAAAGAAAAGCCCACAACAGGGAAAAACAAAATTCGTCGTGGGTAGGTGGACAGAGTCAATAAGACATATTACACTTGCAAGGTCATTTTTCGGGGGTTGTCGCGTGGACTATGAGTCAAACAGGAAATTCCTTTCTTATCTTAGATAGTCGTTTATAACTTGTAATTTTTAATAATACATATGTACAAAAAACAATTTTTTTTGAACCCCGATTTTACGAATGACCCCGATTTAACGAATAAAATTTCTGGTCCCGATGAATTCGTTAAATCGGGGTCCGACTGTACTTTAAGTGTAGTTAGCTACAACTATTTTGTTAAATGTAATGATTACAATCTGCTTTCAAAATGCTGTTATTAGCTCATTACTTTTTGGAGACAAACTTTGCTTTAAAACTTGTTTTTCACCCGTCAATGTATAATTAAAAACCATTTCACCAAAATTGTTTCTAATTTATTGACTTATCTAAACACGAGGAATTATTGAGAAATATTTATTCATGTTTACTTGAGCCAGTTTGTAATTTTAAACAACTTTTTATGAGTTTGTTCTTTTAACCTTCAACATTTTATCCCCTTTTCAAATATTTAATTTAAGAAATACTAGGAAGTTATCAAATATTTGTAATTTTGTTTAGTGCTCTTATATTTAAAGTACAGCAAAAATATATTCTCTTACATTGAAATAATATCTGGAATTCTTTTAGTGTTGTGAATACTCTCATTTGAAGGTATGGCTGAATTGATAAATTAGTTATTATTTATAATGTCTAGTTTGAATGTTAGACATAATATATAGTGTCTAAAAAAGCACTGCTCAGGAGCATCTAACATAGCTTGGTCACAGGGGGCATTCTTGTTACGTCCATTGACAGAGCCAAATTTGTTATGTTTAAACCTCCTTACTTTACTTAACTAACAATATTTTTCTATTACTAAGTATTCTAAACTGTGAACAGAAGCATATAAATTTCAGTTGCTTTTTGTATTAAGTTGAAATGAATTACAAAAGATCCCTTGTTTCAGTTTTACAGAAAATTTTGTAATCTGTAAAAGTATGGAAAATTGTTTAATGGATCCTTTCTTATTCCAAATACCTCAGTATTGTTAAATTTATTTACATGGCATATTATACAATTTATTATATTTCCTGATGACATATTAGGTATATAAAGGAGGCCTTTTTACAGAAAACAATATTGTTCTAGTTGAAGGTTTCAGTGACGATAAAGTTTTCCATGTGACTGCAATGGGTTTTCCTCCTCCTGAACCTGCTGAAGAGACTTTGTAAGTAAGATGTATAATTTAATCATTTAAAATTAATGTCTGAATAAAACTTGCGTATGAGTTTATAAGGGTTTAGGGTTGCCCTTTTTCGACACCACGAAATTAGTACCTTATAAGAAGCAAACAATGCTACATAGACATCCTGTTAATTTTTATCCTTGCATAATTATTTTACATTTGCAAAGTCCGGCTACTAAATGTAAAGTTAATTTTAAGGAGCTAATAACATATGGGTCACNGAGTGGCATAATTCGATGTTAAATGATAGGCAATGATTATTTTACAATTGCAAAGTCCGGTTACTAAATATAAAGTTAAATATAAGAGTGGCATAATTAGATGTTGAATAATAGGCAATCATTATTTTACAATTGCAAAGTCTGGCTACTAAATATAAAGTTAAATATTTATTTTTTTTAATTACATCCATCATTTGCTCTCTCGAGCATGAGAAGTCTTGCAGTCCAATATAACAAAGAAATATCTCCAGGGGCGGAGAGCGTCTTGAAACTAGAAGAATTGCGGGCCTCCTGGAGGGCTTAAGATAAAGATGAAGGCTGTAACACATTTAGCGTTATCCAGGGTGCACCACGAGAAGGTCTGTTACACTACACCCCATAAAGTTAAATATAAGAGTGGCATAATAGGCAATGATTATTTTACAAATACAAAGTTCGGCTACTAAATATAAAGTTAAATATAAGAGTGGCATAATTAGATGTTGAATAGTAGGCAATGATTATTTTACAATTGCAACATCCGGCTACTAAATATAAAATTAAATATAAGAGTGGCATAATTAGATGTTGAATAACAGGCAAAATGCTAACCGTAAAATAAATATTGATGATTAAATGGATAAGTGACACAGATAATGGTCATGATGTTATCAAACCAACAATAAGTGAGCTTTAATGAACCCAGAAATATCAGCATTATTAGTGCTAAAGGAAATAAAATGATGAGGAATATAGCTCATATTATTGTGGTATTTATGTTTACAAGTATATTTGACATGGCTGCCTGAGTGAACATCTCTGTGAAATCGATATTTTTGACTCCCCTCTTTGTTCATTATGCGATTGGGAGAACCTCTGAATAGAGCTCACCTGCGTCGATGCGGGGCACTTCGTGACTCTGCCGACTCCAAGACCGCCCTGTATTGGAGAGCTAGAGAACGCCTGAGGCTTTAATAACTTCGGTCAATATTTGTAATTGCTTGCTCATTGTTTCGCAGTGGCTTGTTTTTATAAATGTAATATGCCTTGCCATTGGAAATTAAAAAAAAAAGTATATTTGCTTATGAAAATGATTTCTTTTAAACAGTATTTCCTTTTATTACAGTTACTCAAGAAATTTCAATAGATATGATTCAGTTAGAGTTTCTGTGGTCGAAACTAGCATAAATGATTTAGCTTAAGCTTTCTATACTAAAAACCTCTGAATGTGCAGCAATTAGATTTTTTATTCATACTTATTCTTTTATTTCTAATTTTGGAATTTTAAATTGAGGTTGTGATAAATTTGTATAAAGCAAAACACACTAATATTCTTTTTCCAACAAGTTAATAAAAAACAATAATGAAGAAGAGAATGTCTTTTTTTTAATATTTTTCATTACTTTTATTGTTTTCTTTAAAATTTTCTATAAGTTTCAATTTTCTAATGGAATTTCTGCTGTATTGTGCAACTTTCCTTTGGAATTGTAGTATTTAACTGCTTTACAACATGATTTTTGATTTCTCTTTTTATTAATAAAAAACATTTTGTTTGAATTCTTATTCTAATAGTTGTATAATCATTATATAATATAGTTGTTATATCTTATTTTATCTAAAATTATAAAAATGTAATTTGATTGATTTGGGCTTTAAATAATAGTTTAATTTTTTTTTATTTAAAGATTTTTAAATCACCTTTTTTATTTAACTTTTTCAAATATTAAACCTAAATATTTGATTGTGCATTAAATTGCGAGATGTTGGCATTGTAGTGTTTTTCCGCATTTTTCTTTTTCAAACTTGGCAGTTGAAGAAGGATTGAAAAGGGGGCCCAGCTACTGTTAATAGAACAACATCTGGAAAAAAAAACTCACAATGAGAGTCATACAAGACATGAAAGAAGGCAAACACTGACTTATTGGTCTGACAGAATCTGATTCATTCACCGTATTGTACTATATGTACTGTATTGTACTATTTGTCATTCAAAGCGCATCAATCCCTATTCATTTTAAGGACTATTTAAAAAAACGTATTTACAAATTTTAAGCAATATTGACCAATACATAGTTTTTATCTAGGCTTAACTGAAATATAAGTTTTGTTAAAAGTGAATGTAATTGGCTTTAACTTCATGTAAATCAAAAATATAAGCTTAATACCATAATATTGTTAAGCTTAAACCATAATATTGTTTTGTATTATTCTAAAAAAGTAAATGTTACTTTTAGATCATATTTTCCTAATTTTTGTGCGACTCCATGCCCAACAATAAATTCACATAGACTTTCTATAAAGCTTAGAGAAATTGAAGAAGAAAATAGCAATGCTATGTTTGTATTTTTATCTGACATTTGGTTGGATCAATTCAAGGTAAGTAAGTTAAACTATTCTAAAATTTCAGTTTTTGAAATTTGATTTTCAAAAGAAGTAAAATCTGTCTTTTAGTATTATATTAATTTAACCCTGTTATTCATGAAACCTACTGGCTGTTATGTTTCGCTCTTATTTAAATTATAACTGAATCGCATAATGATATTTCTATTGCTCGTTAGCAGATTTATATTTTGCATTTATATTTTGCAAATTATGATTTACATAAAGCATTGAACAATATTATTATATACAATAGAGTCCCGATTATCTGAACCCCAATTATACAAGCTTCGTCTTTAACCGAGCTATCAAATATTTCAAGGATTTTTTTATTCTGGTTTATTTTTTAAACTATCGCAAAATTTTTTTATCTTCTAAGCCAGGGGTTTCCAACTTGTATGAGGCCAGGGGCCACAATTAAAAACACAAATCAAATGGCGGACCGCAACTTTATCAAAATTTTTTGTAGAATGCCTTTATGTTTGAAGGAACATTAAATATTACTGTCAGATTTTTACCATAGATTTTTCCTATTTTAAGTTGTACAAAACAAAAGTATTGAATTACAAATTAAAATAAGAAGAAGATTTTTAAAAATACTTAATTGTTGCTAATAATATTTAAAAAAATATTAAATAAACGATAAAAATTCGGGCTGCAATAACTTTAATGTGCACCTATGCATTAAACAATTAATGTGCAACAGATATCTAATTGTTAAGATATAAAACTTCAAAAAGATTGATATTGAAACTTACATAGTACCACACAAAATGTTTAATCAAAAAATTGAGGTTTGTCTGCTACATCCATCAGAAAATAGATATTTACATCTTAAATTAAAAATTTACAAATGTGTGTGTAAATATTTTCGTCCAAAATGAGTGGTTTCAAAAAGCTAAATCAGAGAATTTCTTTGAGAAAATTTCTGATGCACACATGCTGAATTATGTTCACAAAATAAAAAAAATGAAATAAAGAAGAGCAACATACGCGCTTATTTTTGCATTTGAATAAATGTTTTCTTAAATGCAAAACGCGAGAAATTTTTTTTTTTTTTGCACCGTTGGTATGTTAAATTTCACAGAAACGAAGAAATTAGGTTTTATAGAAACCTAATTTTATTTAGAAATTAGGTTTTATAGAAAACAAGAACGAGAAAAGTATTTTAAACATATATATATTTTTTACGAAAATTGTCCGCAAAAAAATTACAACTAGTCCGCAGGCCACAAAAAATGGCATCGCCGGCCTGATGCAGCCCCCGGGCCGCCAGTTGGAAACTGCTGTTCTAAACACTCAGGAAAACAAAATCCAACACCTTGATCTGATGACAACATATAAAAATCTCTCAAACAGATGAACTGAAAGCTATCGAAAGTTCTATTGAATATATAGAACAACAAGAAGAGTCTACACCAGCCTTCCTGTTATTCCTAAAAAAATGCGAAACATCAGCTGCAGAAAAGCGCCAAAGTAATGTAAAACAAAAAACGGATCTAGGACTTTTTTTAAGTAAAAACTCTTTAATTCTCTTAAAGTATGCTCTTTAAGTGATTTTAAGTAAGCCTTTTAATTATAATATGAATTGTATGTGGTGTACTCATATAAATTTTATATTTGTGAAATATATTAAATTTGTACCTACTCTTTTTTCTTTTCTTTTTTATACTCTCCTCTTTAACCAAGATTTTAGGTTATCCGAGTTATTCCTGGTCCACATTTACTCGGATAATCGGGACTCAACTGTAGTTGTACTAAAGTGTAATGAATAAAACTTATAAAACTAATTTTATTTAAAATAAAAATATTAATCCTTTTTTTTTCTTTTTGATCATGATATGCATTCTTTTTCTTAAAATTTATTTCTATGTCTGTAAAATTTAGATAGTCAAATTATTCTTTGGAATCTATGCACTTTGCATGCTAAAGTCTGTTATTTTGGCCCATTTATACCAGCTGTAAGCAAAAAATTTGTTTTAAATTTAAGAATTATGGAATTTTTTTATTTCATTTTTTTCTCATTGATTGGACTTGCTGATTTTTTGTATGTTTTATTTTTCAAGTGCTAATTTATCTGTAATTTTTTGTTAGGTTATGCAAAAATTACAAGTTCTGTTTGCAGGCTATTCTCAAATGCCGCCAACTTGTTTTGTTCTTATAGGAAACTTTTTATCATTACCTATAGTTGGTTCTCAAAGCAAAGTTTTTGAAGGTATGAATGCTGTTTTGGATTGTCATAAGTATTTACATTAAAGTTTCTAATTGTAATTAATATATTTAACACCTATATATTTTAAAGTTGCATACTGTTATCTATTCAAGAGACTTCCTAGTTTTCACGAACTTTTCTAAAACTCTTAAAAAAATATTCATAATTGTACTTTTTATAAAAATTTTAAGAAATTCTAAGAATTTTTTTAGAATTCTGCTGTGTTATGTTTAATATGATGATTACAAAAAAAAGTGAAATTTCCTTTTTAAAAAAACTAAACTATGTTAAAATAACTATTTAACTAATAAAAAAAGTTTTTTCAAGCTGAAAATAAATATGCAGTGAAACAAAAGTTTTCTAAGCAACTCATTTTTATTTTTAAGAATAGCCAAAACATGTTTTTATTGCCAAAGCTATATCTATTTTATTTATTTGTAATTTATATGTTGTTGGTTTTAAATTGCTTTCATTTTATTTGTATTTCATTATTATAATGTATTATTATATATTATTATAATATATCATTATTATAATATACATATATAATATATTAAAAAAAGGTACATATTATAAATTTTTTTTATATATTTCTAATTGAAAATACTTTTATTACTTACATAAATGCAATTACTGTTGAAACATTAAAAATTTGTCCTAAAAAAAAAGATGTCTTTAATTTGAAAAATTTCTTATATAGATTTTTAATACTAATTTAGTAATATGGAAAACTCTAAGTTTTATTGTAAAATGTTGGTAGTTATGTATTATTTTATTTTAGCATATTCTTATCACTCTTTCTTTTTTCAGATTGTTTTTCTCAGCTTGGTAGCTTAATCAGTGAATATCCTACCTTGATTGAAAACTCACAGTTTATATTTGTTCCTGGTCCTAACGATCCTGGTCTACCTTACATATTACCAAGGTTATTGTACACATAGATTATTTGAGCTATATTTTTTGAACTTATTGTTAACATTCTGTCTGCGTTCATAATTTTTTTGCTTAACTTTTTATTTTTATAAATTTGTTTACGTTTCAACTGTTATTTTTCACATTTTTTTTAATTACACTAATGTATGTTTTTTTGTGAAATTATTGTATGGATTGAGGTTGAAGTAATTTGATTATCTTAAAAATTTTATTAAATGTTGGGTTATTAAGTTGTGTGTACAATTTCTGCATGTACCATTTCTAAATGCATAATAAATGTATCATAATACCAAATTATCTCCTTTAATTGTAATTACTTCATGATTTAACAATTAATCAATTATTAACAATTTGTCATGATTTTGTAATCGGGCGTGGAAAAAAATTTTTTCGAATTTATTTTTTTTTAAAATTTATTTGGTAGTTAGTTTTTTTATGCTCCCATTTATTTTAAATATTGTTTTTAATTATTTGTAATGAAGTGAAGGTATATTTAAGTTTTTACTATCTCATATAATATTAAATGTAACTATACAATTTTTAAATAAAATGGAAAATGGAGAGAATTTTGTAAAATTTTTGTTAAAATATGTCATATTGAAAATTCCAAGTTTTTTTTTTCTATAAATGAAGGGGCAGAATAATATATTTATCATTTGATTACTTCTTTATATGAAAAATATTTTTGTGTATATTGTATAAATTCTATTAAGTAGTATTTACATTGCTCCATAATTGAGCAATGCAAATTGCAATCTAGTATATTGAGCAATGTTTAAAGAAACTAGTTTTGTATTTAAAAAATGAACAAGTGACAAAATTACAATTGTTATGTTATTACATATTTTGCTATTACATGTGTTATATAAGTTTATATCATTTGTCTAACTATAAGATTATTTTATTTTTATGTTTAATATGTTTTTTGCCTTTCAACAATGTTATTTTTATTTTTTATCAGGCCTCCAATACCTGATACGTTTCTTGGTGACTTCATGAAAAAGGTTCCAAAAGCAATTTTTACTTCAAATCCATGTCGAATACAGTATTGTTCTCAAGATATTGTTATCTTTCGGGAAGACATAATATCTAAGTTATGCCGAAATAGTATATATACTCCCTGGGAACACGAAGAAAAAGTTGATATTCCAAATTTGGTAAAATGCTTCTTGATACTTTTTTTTTGGTTAGTAAAATTAAGGGTTATACTGTTTCTATAAATTTAATTTTTGTTATATACTAATCATTACAACAGTGTATGGTTGTGCAAAAAAGTCCTCAATAATCCTAAATGTTACTAGAAATTTCCTAACTTTATGTACTACAAATTATGAATTATCTAATGAAGTAGAATCAGCTTTTAAAAGTGGTATATAAGTTATAGAGTATGAATACTATTTATGTTTCATGTTTCTCTGAAATATGTAATATTTCAGTTATTTTATCTTTATTTGTTTTTAAATTATTCTAAAGTTAATTAATATAATTACCTCTTTGAAAGGAATAAATCAGAATTGTTAATTATTTTATTAATCAATTATTATTTATTAATTATTTTATTATTTTATTTGTTTTATTTCATTATTTGTTTTTAAGTAGTAGTGCCACCCTTTTTTATTTTATGTGAATAATAAATAAGTAAAATGCAGTTAATTTGTGTTTTAAGGAACATGTTGAAATATATATATGTGTGTGTGTGTAAATTTTGAAGGTATTGACACAATACTTTGGTCGTGTTTGTTCTTTTTACATGCCACAAATATTTTCCGCTAATTATAATATTATTTATCTTAAAAATTTTCTATAAAATAGCAAATTATTTGTATTGCTATTTTAAACCTTTTCATTTGTTAGTTTATAAGCTGTGGTTTCAACTAATAAAACCAATAATTATTATTTATCGAATTTTAATTTGGGTGAGAGTTAGAAAAAAACTGGAATACAACACTTTTAACTAGGTTACAGCTGCCTTTTTTCAAAAACCACTTGAAACTTGTTGTAGAGAAGCTCCATGTTGTTTGGATATTGATGAATGATAGTGTAGGCTATTTATTTTGCTTCACTCAATTTATACTGTAATTTTTAGTAGTTTGAAATTTTTCCAGGTGATTTCAACATTTTATCACACTTGTTTCATTATTATTCTAAATTATTAAAACTAGTTTTCATCATAATTAAGACTTTCTTTCTTTTGTTAAATGTCATTATTAGATAAAACCTGCACTTGGTCAGTCTGGGTTGTACCCGATCTTATCTATTTGAAGCACTTTTGGTGAAAATGACTGGTTAACTTAAAGTAACAAGTTTTCTTTATTAATGTCCCAAATGGAAATCAGGCATTTTATACAAAAAGGCCTAAAAATTGAGAAGCAGAGTAAGCAACTAGGAAAGACAGTAATTCTCACTTCGTCACCTCATAAATTAAAATTTGTAAGACAAGAAAAATCGTAGTACCAGTAAAGAACTTAGTGTAGAATCTATGTTAAGCCTCCTAAGTGAAAGGTCAGTCCAAATCCCTGAAAAGTTGAATATAATATCTCAATCTCAAGGGATGGGCAACTGTAGCAATGCAGAAGAGCCTGTTTAAACTTTTATTTGTAATATTTGCTCTTAAAACTGATAAATTAACTTTATCCGCATATGATAAGTCTCAAATACTAATAAATACAAAATTATTTGGTCATTGATTTTTAAATTCATATATATTTCTTGTATATGAGAGGCACTGTATTAGTTAGTAATGCACATTTCAATTAGAAAATAAATTATTTTCTTAATATTTATTATAGAAATACTTGTTTTTACCTGGTTAGACCCTGCCTAATCTGTAACCTGTAGGTTAGATATTTTATGGGGAATGTATGTTTATGATAATAGTATTATTTTGTTGCAACATGAACTTGAGAAATAAATTTTATTGATTTTTGTATCTTCATTATTAATTTTTATGAAATTTATATTTAACAATAATTTTTGCCTTTTTTTAAAAAAAAAATTTTAGTTTGTGAAGACTGTTATTGCAAATGCACATCTTATGCCTCTTCCAAATAATGTTGCTCCTATTTACTGGGAATATGATCATTCTCTTTGGTTATATCCTCTACCGGATGTGGTTGTTTGTGCTGATAAATATGATCCATACACAGTTAAAAGTACCAGCAGTATATTTTTTAATCCAGTAAGTCAGTTTTCTTTTTATACCTTGAGTACTTTCCTTACTTTTCATACCTTACTTACATTGTAAATAGAGGTTGTTCCGTAATAATCAAGCTTGATGTATATTTTTAGAAGCTTTGACAAAACTAAAGTTGAAAAAAATGCACTTTAGGGGTAACATATTAATATTTAAGCAATGATAAAAACAAAAATGCCATCAAAATCATTACTGTGAAAGAGGGAACTGAAAGCTTCAAAACCTGTTTAATTTCCATATGAAGTAGGAGTTGAACAGTGAGTATTGGAGTTTTAATCAAATTGGCTTTGATATTTTTGCTCTTGCCTTTCTCATTAGTGATTTTACTAACAGATTTTACTAACATTTTTTTTTCTTTCTTTCTTAAACATGGTGCCTAGCGTTTTTAAAAGGTGCTTATTTTCGATTTTCGTTATTTAAAAGCCCTTAAAGGTGCTTTTTTCATTGGTTGTTTTTAAAAAGTGCTTAGTTTTCCTTTTTCAAAAATTAGAATTTTTTTCGTTACCATATCGATTTTCACCACGTATTATGCAAAAACGTGCCTTTCACATTGTTCTATTCAACATTTTCACAATACATTTCGGCGTACCGTCAGTCCATAGCGTATGAAAGCGCCAAACATTTTACGTGTTTGATGAAATACTTGTGAGTCCATATGTGCGTCTACTGAGCTGGGTTTGGTGAAATTATTGCCTTCTCATGTGCAACTGTGCTGCATTTTTCAAGATATTGTCAATTTCAGACTTCATTTTCCACCCTCTGATATCAAACCGAAAAATCTCTCCATCATTTTATAACGGCCAATATAATCAAGAAAAGAGTTCTTTGTCAGAAACTAGTTCTTTTCTCATGATCATCTAAAGTCTTTGAAAATATTTTGCATTTTGTTAATGTATATAGTGCTTAAAAAGATTTTTTGAGTACTTAAAAGGTGCTTATTTTTTGTTGAAAGATTTGGCTTCTCACTCTGTTAAATATTAATTTGCGATTCCTAAATTTCATACTCTTTTATGCCTTTTTTGATGATAATTCGAAGATATCCTAATTAAAAGCACTCCTTATGGAACATATACATACATTAAAGTCAACTTTAAAATGATTTTCTAGAGTGACAAATAGCTATTGACAAATCATGTTTCTTGATTTAAGAATACTTTGTTTGAACATAATTTTTTATGCTTATAACAAACAAGTGAAAATTTAAATGCAGAGTATTGAGTATTTTCAAAATGTCTCTTAATATGTTTTTTTGGGTTGATGTTTTAGTGATCTGTTAGTTTACGATATGCTGATAATTGAAAATAGAAATTTTTTTAATTATTGAGTGGGAAAATGTATGAATTGAAGTGTAATCTTATGTTTTTATAAAATATGCAGTATGTGTTTTAAATTGATATAATGTGTTTAAAACTTTTTTTTGTCTAAGATAACACTACACATTTTGAGATGGTTTTGATAAATATTAAAAATAAATTCTTTAAAAATATTTAAATTCGATAAAGTGCTTCCCTTCCTTGACATCAAACATTAATTCACTTTTCAAACATGATAATTTATTTTACAATGAAATTTTTAGATAGCTAAATGAACAATTTTTATGCACAATTTTTATTTACCTAAGAATTTTCATGTAAATGAATTGAAATAATTTTAGTTTATAAAACAGTTCAATTGTTGAATAAAATTTTAGTACCCTATATTTCGAATCTTAAGTGCAAGTTTATCAACCAAGAGTTCACTTTTCTTTGAAAATTTACAAAAAATTCAAAATTCCTACGTAAGCAAGGGTAAAATAAATAAATAAATTTAAAAAAAGGCACTCTATCTTTGTGGGTAACTTTCTATTTCCTTTTCAAGCTTTTTAACTTTGTCTAGATTGAGATCTTAAGCAGTTCAACTAATGTGATGTAAATCAGATGTTAACATTAAGAACTGTCTTAATTCGTAAGCTAAAAAATTTAACTTTTTTTTCTGCATTCGTTGTTATTTTAAGAAGAAAAATAAGTGATAAAAATAAATTGTATAATGTAAATTTTAAACTACAAGTAATTGCATATGCGAAGAATTATGACAATAGCCTGACTTATTTCGTGTATTTTGTATGTTCAGTTTCATGATGTTTAACAATCCAGTGCTACTGCTCGATTAACGGAGAAGTATTTATGTTGGTGGTATTAATGCAGAATTATTCAGATTCCAATAAGTCAAACCCTCACAGCTTTCAAATTTTTCAGAAATTCCTGAGCTATATTAGAAATGAAATAATACAGCAGTTAAATAAAAGTTTTAAAAATGTTCAAATTCTTTCGATAAAATTATCACATCACTTTATTTTAAAATTGAAAGCTTCTAATTTAATATCTAGATGCCAAGCATCTAGTTTCCTTGAATCTAATGAAACTTGTATATAAAGTAGCTTATAATACTTACACACTTTGTACCTAATTTTTATGCATAATGTACTTTTGCTTTTAAATTTGTCTTTTTGATTGTTTCTGTTAATTGTATAATTTTAAATCCTATTGTTTGATATTAATCTAATAATATTTTAGGAATCTAAATCTCAGTTCATCTGATGTGCCAAACATATATGTAGAGTTAGTTTCTCACTTTGACTCAAACTTTATGTTATCTATATAATTTCCAATTCACAAACTTTGATGTCATGCATTATTGCCTAATTTTGTACTTGGGGCATAGATTATAAATGACAAGATAACAAAGCTAGATATAGGATCTGTTAATCTTGTTTGTAACTATTGGTCCTGAGTTAATTTTAATGGGCGATAACGTGGGGCCACATAGATCTCTTCTGGTCGTTGAATTTCTAGAGAGTGAGGATATTCTCCAAATAGATAGGCCAAAGGCCATGATAGCCTGGTCGGTAGGGCGCTGGACTCATGTCCAAGAGTTGGAGGGTTCGATCCCCGCCGGCCGAAGACTCCCTGTGTAGTAAATGGTGACTGGTGCACGTTTAATCTGTCGAGTCGCAAAGTCCTCCATGTTCCCAAAACAAATCAATATCTCTGGGGGTACNTTGATTCAAACTTCATCTCATCTATATAATTTCCAATTCACAAACTTTGGTGTCATGCATTATTGCCTAATTTTGTACTTTGGGCATACATTATAAATTACATGATAACAAAGCTAGATATAGGATCTGTTAATCTTGTTTGTAACTATTGGCCCTGAGTTCATTTTAATGGACTATAACGCGAGGCCACACGGAGCTCTTCTGGCCGTCGAATTTCTTGAGATTGAGGATATTCGCCAAATAGATTGGCCAAAGGCCATGATAGCCTGGTTGGTAGGGCGCTGGGCTCATGTTCAAGAGTTCGTGGGTTCGATCCCCACCGGCCGAAGACTCCCTGTGTAGTAAATGGTGACTGATGCACGTTTCATCTGTCGAGTTGCAAAGTCCTCCATGTTCCCATAACAAATCAATACCTCTGGGGGTACTGATCCAGGAGTTTCTTTGTCTTCTGGATTGGTTCAAAAACAAAGCTACGGAGTTGATCATTAGTAGTCGTAAACCCAAAAAATTGGGTCGGCTGTTCAGCGACAGATATATAAAAAAAAATTCCAAAATAGTTTGGCCAGCCAGATCTCCAGACCTCATCCCTATAGAGCATGTCTGGGATGCTCTGGGGAGGGCAACTGTAACTCGTTATCTCCTCCGAGAATGAAAAGAGCAATGCTGAACGAGTGAGACCAATTGCCACAGGAAATGATAAACTGCCTTATTTCAAGTATGAAATCACGTTTCAAGACCTGTGTAACTTGCTGCAGTGGATAGTTTTTGATGGACAGTTTTACAATGGATAGTTTTTGATGTGTAATCACATATAATGATTTGGGTTTTATAAGTCTTTAAAATATAAATCATAATGTCCCTTTGAATATTAATTTTGCTGAATGTTTTAATATTGTTTTAATAATTTTAATGCGGTTGTTATGCTGAAGTATGCATAGCTTATTTCCTAACATTTAAAAACAAAATAATTATCTTATTTAATCCTTTCTCAATAAATAAAAATCATTAATATAATATTTAATACCACAACCTTGAATTGAGTGCGGAATAAAATCTATTTTCAGAGATTCCCTCTACATCTGCTTAACATATTAGCATAGAATTCAAAATACTGTTATATGTTTGCTAATGTTTTGACTTCATTAAAATTGGCTATTATTTCTCAAACTTCCTTTTCAACACATTTGAATGCATAAGGGTCAGAAAAAGAGCCTTGGCAATAAATAAAAACAATTAATAGAAAATACGTGGATTCCTTAACTTTCCTTGGCGAAAACTATGCTATGCATTTTTGATTTCATGGTGAACGGAGGTGCCTTGTGATGCTTAGTCTTTGCAGCCCTGTTCTCCAGGCCATTTTCCAAATGTAGTATTTTATTAATTAATATGTACATAAATAAGAACATTTCTCTTTAATTTGGAGTTCCATATATTTCTGAAATAAAAGATTTTTGTTGTTAATCATAATTTGATTCTTTATTTAAGTAATTTATGGTGTTTAATGAATAATTGCTGGTCTGTATCACTCTCGAATAAAATACGAACAATTGGAAATACATAAATTAACATCTTCTTTAACTAATAGTAAATACATCAACTTTTTCAATCACCAAATAATTCCTTGATAGTGGTGTAGCTTTTAAACTTAATAATTTAGTCATTTATTTAGTAATCAGTCTTTTTAGAGTTATTTATAAATAATTAAAATAAATCGGTTTGTAGAAAAAAAATGTATCTTTTAATTTTGAGGTAAGTTCTATAAAAGAAGACATCGAATTTAATTGTTTATGTGAAAAAAGCATTGAATTTAATTGTTTATGTGATCGCTAGTCAATCACCACCCATTTGAGCGTTAATTCTGGCTTTTCCCAAGCTTTCAGCTACTGATTAACCAGTCATAAAACCAGTTTTTGTGCTATGTTATTTAATAAAAAAGAAGTATATAGCCATAGCAGGGCATTATTTTGACAGGGGCTTTGCTTGGAAGATTAAAAAGAGCTGTCATAGAAATAATTATCATTTATTGTATAAATAATATTTTTGTAGTAATAATTGTCATTAATATTTATTTTAGAAATAATTATACTTATTATTTTACCAAAAATATGGGTGTTTTATTGGAATGAATAAAAAATCTATAAATTTAAATGTGATAATATTGTTTTATAGTGACTGGGTAAAACAACACAGTAAAAATGTTTTTAAAATTTTAGGAAAACTTCTTAAAACAAAATATTCTTAAAAACATTGTTCTTGAAAAATTGAGCCCAAACATTCCTTGTGTTTAAAACCTTGAAATAGTTTTAAAAGAGCTAATATGGATTGTTTCTGTTTTAAAATTTTTTTTTCAAGTAAGTTTTTTTCCCATTGTTTTGAAGCCTTTCTCTAATGGAGAAAAATTCACCTCAAAATTTAGTTGTTCCAACATTATGTTTAGTTAAAATGAAAGGTTAGGAATGTTTAGCTTCCTTGGGCTGATTGACGATAGCATAAATCTTATGATGTTTTCAGTTACAAGTTTGATCACAATGATGTTCATTTACCTCTAACTTTATTAAATCTTCTTCTTCTTTTTTTTTTTTAAGGGATCCTTGCCTCGTTCAAATTATTCCTTCAAAGTGTATTTTCCAGCTTCTAAAGAAGTAGAGGACAGTGAAATATCTGATGAAGCGATGAATTAATTAAATTTTTAATTTATTTTGTTGTATATTTATGTAAATATATTTTATTAAAATGTTCTTTTGAAATTTTTCTTGCTTAATTTTATTGATTGTATCTCATTTATTTATGATGTTTAGTCTTGGATTTCCTGTTTTCAATTATTTCTTCTTGTTTAAGAATTGTTATGAGTTTACAAGTTTTTATAAATCTATATAAACTAGTTTTATTTTTAAATTCGTTGATTTATTCTAAGACTAGTGTCTAATTTACTGTAAAATTATACCCAAAAATTTATTCCTCCAAAGTGTGTATGGTATACTCAAATTTTTACTTTTGGAAAATTGTTTTGATTTGAGCGATTGCATCTTAGTCATAATGATTGTACACTTTAACCCACTGACAGAGCGGCATGTAAAAAGTCGTACTTTAACCTGCAGTCTTCTCCGCATAGCAAAACTGGTTATGTTATTAGATAGAGAAATAGTGTATTGGGGAGAAACATTCTACCAATTTGCCCATTTGTTAAACAGCTAGTTGGTTAAAAGAAATAGCCCTACAAATGTTAATAAAATATGAATAATAAATACAAAAAGAAATTAAGTTTCATTTCAATTTTTCATAGATGAAAAAAACTTTCAAATTATCTTTAAAATAAAATAATAAATGCATAAAAATTATTTAAATATGAAAATGATATAAGACTTAAAAAGAAGCATAAAATAATTTCTAATATTGTTCTAAAAAAGAGTGTAAAGATTTTTGTTTAATAGAAGCTTTACTTTAAACTATTATTTTCCAATTATTATACTTTATCATCTTAATTTGTGCAATAAAAATTAATCAAGCAGTCATGTAAGTATTATGTATTCTATTAAGACTTATTTTTTGGTTCAGAGATAATTTTCAACTTATGTAGTTTTGTTTTACTTAACTAACATGGCCTTTGAAGACATTAATATTGTTTTTTTTAAATTGTCATTTAAGATATTGTTTTTTTCCTGTTCCATTGTTTAAGAAAATGGAATTGCTCATTTGTAAAAGTTTTGATATTATTTTCATGCATGCATGAAGTTGTTTCTCCCAATAAAAAATTTTTTCTTCATCAAAACAAAACTTTTTATTCTTTGGAAAAAAAATTCTAAAAATAGCTACCAATTTTATTTAAATTGTTCTGGCTAATTTAATTTAAGCTAATAGAAACATAAGTTTTTATTTTATAAGCATTTTAAAAATTACAAATAATTTAATTACTTTTGATAAATATAGTATGGTTTTAGAAATTGTTACTATTCTGTTCGAAAGATCAAATTTCAAATGCAATAAACTTTGCATGCATTAATTTGAACTTTTTCGCTTAGCAAAAAGTAATCAAAATTTGTATTTACGATAAATTCTAATTAGCGATGAAATGTTTATAAATAATTATGCTTGTAGTGGTTAGAAAACAATTGAAACGTAAATTATCAACACGCGCCGAATTGAGGGGGAGATTTAAGTTCTTTAACTTCTCAGAAAGTAGTCGAAATTTTAATTGCAAGATTTTAACCTCACAGAAACGAATATAAAACCTTAAAAAATCTAGTAAAACAGAGTTTCGATTTCTATATCTCATGTTGTATTTAAAAACACAAATTTTGTGTTGATAATAATAATAAAATAGTTTTGAAAATGCACCATGAAAGTTTGACATTCATTTGCTTACCTAACTTTTCCCCCTAATGTCAAATTTGCCAAGGATGAGATATGTAACAGAAAAAGGTAATATTGATTAATTACTTACTCATTTAGCATTTTTTATTTATTAATGTATGCATCCATATTGTCAGCTTACTTTCGCTAGTTAAAATCTAGATTGTACTGGCTGGTGTTATAAAATCCTGGTGTATAAGAGTTAATACATTTCTGAAAAGCTAGTGTTACAGCAATTTTAGGATTAAATAATTTTCTTATTAAAAAATTATCCTTGTAGGGGTCTAGGAAATATCGATGACGATGAGGATGTTCTGATTCAAATTCCTGTAGAATTCTACTAATACCACAAGAAATTTCTGATGTGTGTGGTCTAGTATTATCATGCAGTTAGATAGATATCAATTTTTCAATAAATTAGGTATAAATTTGTTAATAAATTTATTATTTTTAATTTTAAGTTTTTGCATCATTCCTTATATTTAATTACAATATTTTTCTGCCATGATAGTCTGATAGTTGGCCAATTTTAATATTGTACTTTAGTTCATCATTATTAACCTTTGATTTTAGGCAATCATTTCTCTTATTTATGAAACTTAAGTTACCTGTACAAAATTTGGAGAATCAATTTGATACTCTCTGCTGTGTTGTAGCACTAGAGCCAAATGAATTTTTAATATTTTTGTGAAGCCGTAATTCTATGTACGAGTTCTTATTTCAAAATAGTGTAAATTTCTGGTCATTCCATTTTCAACAAAAATAGTTTTTTTTTTTTTAAAAAAAAGAAAAAATTTTTTTTATAGCTTTCTATGATTTTTTTGAACAGGTAAAATGTGTAATTTGCGAACAAAAAAATAAAAATAAATAAAAAATAATAATAAAATAATATAATAAGCTTACGTCAAATAATTAGCTGTTAAAGTTGACAACGTCACTAATTAAAAATTTCATCCTTTCCAACATAATACTAATAGAATAATTGATGTTTTTGAAGTAACAAATTTATAGGTTGTGAATAAGAAATAGAAGTGGTTGTAAATGAGTAGATATGAAAGAATTAGTCGACTTAAACCAATTTCTTTTTCAGAAATTATTAAACAAATTTCTTTCGATTACTTAAAAATGATTAGTTTTAATTCATATATTCATCATATTTTCTTCATTTTTTTTAATTTTTTGTTCGAAAATTTTCAATATTGAAAAATCAGATATATTTCAACATTATTTCTTAAGCAATAGATTTTATGGTATTTTAAAATTAAGTGTAGATTTAAAGTCTTTATATGTATTCCTTAACGAATCTTCTAAATATTTTTAGAATCTTTTTTGCAAAACGTAATAAAAAAGCTATGCATTATTAGGGGTTTAAAAGTAGTGTTCAAATGATTTTTATTGTCAAGAATATTTTTAAACAATAGTGTAAAAAATTACTTTCACAACACTGCTTTCCTATTTTAAATAGTTGTAATTATTTTAATTCATCAGTTAGCTGAAAACAAATATAGTTGAAATGTATTTAAAGTGAAATATAACAAATTTATTTCTTAACAAAATAATGAATAAAATATTGAAATGTTAAAATTTTAATCTTCACTAACAAAGAAAGTGGAAAATGATAACTTTAATTATTTTCAAACTGATGATGACAGCTAAAGATATTTGGATCTTCTTTCTTGTGATTTGCTTGCCTATTATGAATAGTTAGCACGGATAAAAGGATTAGTTTTGATACCCGAATTACCGTTAGTACATATAAAGCTTAAATTGATTGGATAATGATATTTATAAATTGTCAATTAATCATTATGGAAAAGTTATTGTCAATTTCTGAGTAAAACTGGGTAAAAATGTTTACATTTTCGACCATGTTTTTATTAGCTGGCTTATGTGCTTGTGAGGGAATCAAACTTTCATCCTCTTTCTGATTAGATAGAGCACTCAAATCTCTAGTGAAGCATGTCTAATAACAATGCAAGCATTAATCTTTCTTGAATGCAACAAGCAAAATTTAGACCAACTTTGTTGCCAAAAGAAATTTAGCGACGTTCAACATTTTGACCACTTTCCGACTGGCTGGAATGCTCCAATTTTAACTGGAGGTTTGTATTGTATGACAATAAAAGTTCCATTTGTTATCCTGAACGCTATAAGAAGAATATATTTCGCCAAATGGAATTTATCGTCAATGAAAATTCTGCCCGGTTTCAAAATTGGGCAATATTTAAAAATTCGAGTTTTAAATTTCTGTTTTTTTTTCATTGAATAAAGTCAGATATTTATTCTTTGATTTCGCAGGAATTACTTGACCAATTTAGTTCAAGTTTTTTTTAAAGAAATTTTTTATTGTTAATTACATTTGTTAAGAATTGCCACGAGGCGGCGCTCTCATCATATAACACATTATTATTCAGTTGCCATTCAACTCTAGAACAGAGAACATCCTCCTGTTACTCAAAATGATCTTGTCAATTTTATGTTATTAAGTTTCAAAATAAATGTTTATGTTTGTTACAGTCCGCTACTTTATAGCTCAATATATCACGAACACTTAACAACATTCTTTAAAACTATGTAAAAATTTGTATTAAGTAAATCAAAAATTAAAATGAATAAAATAATAAATTATTAATAAAAAATATTTTTTGCATGGATTTATCTTAGGATAAATGAATTTTATAATTGAGTGCAAACTTTTTTAATTCGCTTAAAATGGTCTCGAGATATGGCGATGTACTCAAAAAGTTAAATCAAGGTTTCAAACTTTCGACCGTTCTCCTGACCAAACTATTGGGATCATACTTTTCTGATTGCGGCTACATTTTATAATTTGAAGGCAAGAAATCAAAATCGGTCGAAAAAAAGTATGTTTATATCAAGAAAGTGCGTTTTTGTGTCTGATTTTGTAACTTAAGATATCGTCTGCACTAATTAATCAGCTTATTTGACTCCACCTCAAACCATTAAGAATGAGTCCTAGTACGGTTGTTTGTAATGTTTATAAGCATACAAATATAATAATTAAATATAAAAACTGCTGATAAAGATAAAATTTTTGCGTTTTATTTTTCTCACGGGAAAAGAGGAAAAATATATGCCATAGTGAATTCGTGGGAAAAATCTTGTTACTCTAAACGTGATAAAAAAAAAAGTTGAACAAAAATAAATGGCAATTTTTTTATTAATATTTTCCTTCTGTCAAAATGACTGTCTATGCATAAAAATCGAATGTCATAATTGAATCCCCCCCCCCTCGCTCAAATAAAGGACATTGCTGTGATTTGGAACTCTGAGCAAACACTTCGAGCTCTCACAGATTCGCAAACAATTCAAACGGGATTTGTTCCCGGAGTCCAGAGGGCGCAACTGTTCTCTTATCTTTTTTTCTTCTTTTCTC